TCACATTGAATGATTTGTGGATGTTGAACCAACTTTGCAGCCCATGAATACATCTCACTTGGTCGTGGTGAATAATCCTTTTAATGTACTGTTGGATCCTATTGGCTAGTATTTTGGTGAGAATTTTGGCATCCATGTTCATCAGGGATATTGGTCTGTAACTCTCCTTTTTGATAGGGTCTTTATCTGGTTTTAGGATCAAGGTAATGGTGGCCTCATAAAACGAGTTTGGAAGTTTTCCTTCCATTTCTATTTTTTGGAACAGTTTCAGAGGAATAGGTATTAATTTTTCTTTAAATGTTTGGTAGAATTCCCCTGGGAAGCCATCTGGCCCTGGGCTCTTGTTTGTTGGGTGATTTTTGATTAGTGCTTCAATTTCCTTAGTTGTTATAGGTCTGTTCAGGTTTTCTGTTTCTTCCTGGTTCAGTTTTGATAGTTGATACATCTCTAGGAATGCATCCATTTCTTCCAGGTTATCTAATTTGCTGGCATAGAGTTGCTCATAATATGTTCTTATAATTGTTAGTATTTCTTTGGTGTTGGTTGTGATCTCTCCTCTTTCATTCATGATTTTATTTGGGTCATTTCTCTTTTTTTGATAAGTCTGGCCAGGGGTTTATCAATCTTATTAAATCGTTCAAAGAACCAGCTCCTAGTTTCGTTGATCTGTTCTTTTGGTTTCTATTTCATTGATGTCTGCTCTGATCTTTCTTATTTCTCTTCTGCTGGGTTTAGGCTTTATTTGCTGTTCTTTCTCCAGCTCCTTTAGGTGTAGAGTTAGGTTGTGTATTTGAGACCTTTCTTGTTTCTTCAGAAAGGCTTGTATTGTTATATACTTTGCTCTTAGGACTGCCTTTGGTGTATCCCAAAGATTTTGAACAGTTGTGTTTTCATTTTCATTTGTTTCTATGAATTTTTTTATTCTTCTTTAATTTCCTGGTTGAACCATTCATTCTTTAGTAGGATGCTCTTTAGCCTCCATGTATTTGAGTTCTTTCCAACTTTCCTCTTGTGATTGAGTTCTAGTTTCAAAGCATTGTGGTCCAAAAATATGCAGGGAATGATCCCAGTCTTTTGGTACCGGTTGAGACCTGATTTGTGACCTAGGATGTGATCTGTTCTGGAGAATGTTCCATGGGCACTGGAGAAGAATGTGTATTCTGTTGCTTTGGGATGGAATGTTCTGAATATATCTGTGAAGTCCGTTTGGTCCAGTGTATGTGTATCATTTAAAGTCTTTATTTCCTTGTTGATCTTTTGCTTAGATGATCTGTCCATTTCATTGAAGTGGGTATTAAAGTCCTCTACTGTTATTGTATTGTTGTCGATGTGTTTCTTTGCTTTTGTTATTGATTGGCTTATATAATTGTCTGCTCCCATGTTAGGGGCATAGATATTTACAATTGTTAGATTTTCTTGTTGGATAGACCCTTTAAGTAGGATATAGTGTCCTTCCTCATCTCTTATTACAGTCTTTGTTTTAAAATTAATTTGTCTGATAAAAGGATTGCCACCCCAGCTTTCTTTTGGTGTCCATTAGCATGGTAAATGGTTTTCTACCCCCCCCTCACTTTCAATCTGGAGGTGTCTTTGGGTCTAAAATGAGTCTCTTGCAGGCAGCATATTGATGGGTCTTGTTTTTTAATCCAGTCTGATAGCCTGTGTCTTTTGATTGGGGCATTGGGCCCATTTACATTCAGGGTAACTATTGAAAGGTATGAATTTAGTGCCATTGTATTGCCTGTAAGGTGACTGTTAGTGTATATTGTCTGTGTTCCTTTCTGATCTATGTTACTGTTAGGCTCTCTGCTTAGAGGACTCCTTTCAATATTTCTTGTAGGGCTGGTTTCGTGTTTGCAAATTCCTTTAGTTTTTGTTTGTCCTGGAAGGTTTTTCTCTCCAATTTTCAGTGACAGCCTAGCTGGATATAGTATTCTTGGCTGCATATTTTTCTCATTTAGTGCTGTGAATGTATCATGCCAGTCCTTTCTGGCCTGCCAGGTCTCTGTGGATAGGTCTGTTGCCAGTCTAATGTTTCTACCATTGTAGGTTGCAGATCTCTTGTCCCTAGCTGCTTTCAGGGTTTTCTCTTTGTCTCTGAGACTCGTAAGTTTTACTATTCGATGTCGGGGTGTTGACCTATTTTTATTGATTTTGAGGGGGGCTCTCTGTGCCTCCCAGATTTTGATGCCTGTTTCCTTCCCCAAATTAGGGAAGTTCTCTGCTATAATTTGCTCCAATATTCCTTCTGCCCCTCTCTCTCTTTCTTCTTCTGGGATCTCAATTATTCTAATATTGTTTCATCTTATGGTATCACTTATCTCTCAAATCCTGCCCTTGTGATTCAGTAGTTGTTTCTCTTTTTCTCAGCTTCTTTATTTTCCATCATACGGTCTTTTATGTCACGAATTCTCTCTTCTGCCTCATTTATCCTAGCAGTTAGATCCTCCATTTTTGATTGCACCTCATTAATAGCCCTTTTGATTTCAACTTGGTTAGATTTCAGTTCTTTTATTTCTCCAGAAAGGGTTTCTGTAATTAATCTTCCATGATTTTTTCAAGCCCAACTAGTATCTTTGTTATCATCATTCTGAACTCTAGTTCCAACATCTTACTTATGTCCGTATTGATTAGTTCCCTGGCAGTTGGAACTGCCTCTTGTTCTTTTTTTTTTTTAGTTGATTTTTTTCCGTCTTGTCATTTTGTCCAGAGGAGAATAGATGAATGAGAGAACAAAATGCTAACAGGGTAACAACGACCCCAGAAAAATATACACTAAAGAAATCAGAAGAGACCTTCCAGAAAGTGGTCGCTTTTCTGTTCAGAGAGTTGCTGCTATTCTTCAATCTCCTGTTGAGTTAGTAGGTGTTCAGAATGGTTTGATCTCTATCTACTGAATTCCTGGGACCAGACGAAATTTACGTCTCCTACTCCTCCATCTTGCTTCTCGAGCATTACTGTTGTATTTTGTAGATGTCTTATTTGTTCAGTCCCCAACTGGATGTTTAGATTATCTTCACATTGTTAATGTTATATATAATAGGCTTGTTACATATATCTTTTATCTACTTTCTTCAGGATAAATTCCTAGAAGTGGAATTGTTGGGTCATTGGGTTTCCTTTTTTTTTTTAAAGGTTTTGATGCATATCAACAAACTTGAAAGGATTGTAAGAGTTTGTACTAGGACATTAGTAGGACCAAAGTGTGTTGATTTCCTATGCTGTTGCCAGCTTGGGTATTTTCCTGTTTTTTCAATCTTTCCCAGTTTTCAATCAGTAAGTAGTATCTTACTGCTTTTAGATTTCTTTGATTATTAAGGAAATTGACCATCTTTTCTCATGGTTACTGACCATTTGTATTTTTTGTTTTGCCTGTTCTGGTCTTTTGCTCATTTTCTCTCCTGGAGTATTTGTCTTTTTTTTTAGTGGTTTCTAGGAGCTCCTTACATATCAAGTATAATAAACCCATTTTGACATCTGAGTTGCAAATGTTTCAGTCTTTGTCATTTAAATATGAGTTGTTTTTTTTTTTGCTTAGCAGGTATTTACACATATATCTTTCCCTACCCTGCCTCTTTTAGAGCTTTTTAGCACTCTGTATTTATGAAAGCATTTACCTTTATTTTTTTCAATCCTTTAAGCACTTTTTTTTTTTAAAGATTTTTTTTATTTTAGAGAGAGAGAGAGCATGCACTCAAGGGAGCAGGGAGAGGGGGAGGGAGAGAGAGAATCTCAAGCAGACTCAGCTCACAACTGTGAGACCATGACCTGAGCTGAAACCAAGGGTCAAATGCTTAACTGAGTGAGCCACCCAGGCACCCCTCCTTTAAGCACCTTTAATGTTCTAATGTATTTGAAACTTACTTTGGCATATGTCAAATAATAGGAAAACTATATTTGTCTCTGCTCCCAGTTCCTGGCACCGAGCTCCTAAAACCCCTGTAATTTCCTAACTGATAAGAGCACAAGGAGCATCTTTTGTTCTAATATTTGGTCTGATATTTCCTGACGTAAGAGCTCCTAAATCTCTTGGAATTTTCTGGGTGATAGGAGACCATTATTTCTTAGTGGGCTTCTGGATGGGGACTGGTCACCAGAAAGACCAAATGGTGATTAGAAACTTGGAATTTTTAGTTCCACCCCTCATTTTCCAGAGAGGGTCTGGAAATGGAGTTAATAATTGATCATGCCTACATGATGAAGCCTCCATAAAAGTCCTAACAGTGTGGGATTTGGAGAGCTTCCAGATTGTCCCCCACATGGAGGTGCTGGGAGAATGGCAGACTTGTAGAGGACATGGAAGCTCCACAGCCCTCCAGCCCTTCCCACACACCTTGTTCTACAGATCTCCTCCATCTGGGGGTTCGTCTCTCTGTACTTTATCATATCCTGTCAAAATAAGCTGGTAAACAGGAAGCTTTTCCTGAGGTCTGTGAGATTCTCTAGCAAATTAATTGAACCTAAGTGGGAGCTGATTGGTGCGAAGCACAGGTAACAGCCTGGATTTGCAATTGGCATCTGATGCTACCTCCAGGTAGAGTGTCAGAATGAGTTATATTGTAGGACACTCAGAGTCGCAGAATTGCTTGGTGTGGGAAAGGCCAACACACATCTGGTGTCACAAGTGTTGTAAGTGTGGTAGTAGTGTGACAGGAAAAGAGAGACACAGGAGAAGTGTCCATTTTCTACACAGTATATGATCCAAGGTAAGGTTCTTTTATTTCTGTTCTCTAGTTAGTTAACCAGATAATCCAGTGAGAGGCATTTCTTTCCTCACTGAATTGAAATGCTGTTATCACATCCTAAATAACCAAGTAGACTTGAGTCTCTTTCTGGTCTTGCTGTTTTGCTATATGTATCTTTCTGTTTGGCTTGTCTAGGTACCTCACTAGTCTAAATATTGTTGTTTTATAGAGTATTACAAGTAGGCAGTCCATTTCTTTTTTACCTTTAGCCTACGTAAAATGATAACTAATGAGACAAATATGAACTCTGCCTAGATGTGAGTTTTGTAACTGGCTCCCATGTTGGAGAAATGATCATCTGGGATATTCTGGACTGGACCGTGCAAGCCTGTGAATGCAACTTCTGGGACCCATCCCCACAGCTGGACACCCAGCAAGAAATAAAACTCTGCCAAAAACCAAACGACATTTCTATTCATCATTTCACATGGGATGAAGAGGTAAAAAAAAAAAAAAAAAAAATTTGAGAAAATAGCTGTAAACTTGGCTTTTTTAATAAACCCAGTTTCTAATTTTTTTAACTTAATCTCTTGATGGATATAGAAAGGTATCATTCCCCACGTTCAGGTTATGCTTTAAAATGTTCTGATATTTTTCAAAGATAGCACACCTTGCACTAAAAAAGCCTTTTAATCTTAGCTCCTTTCTGTGAGGCAGGAAGTGATTAAATGTCCATAGATTTAAAAACACTTGAAATTTTTGGTTGGATTAAATAATCCCATAGGATTTGAGGATAAGGCTCAAAATGCGCTTTCAGAAACACTTTGGGAAAGGATCTTTTGAAGATGCTTGTGCATTTCCTGCAGAGGTAAAGGAAATTAAAAATTTTAGGAATGTTTTTCTCTTAGTCTACTAGCATTGTGGGGCGAGATGATTTGTGTGAGAATTACTAAATTCATTCCTTTAGGCCCTGGTGGTGATGCTATTGAAATACTTTACATCTTTTTTACCAACAGATTACTGAATGTTGGCTCTGATCTGTACATTTCTTCTTTTGCCTTCACAGGCTTAGAAAATGTGTGCAAAGGGGGCTTACTTCTCTAAATGTAATCAGAAGAAATGTTTAAGAGTTGCAACCCTTGAGTTACAAAGGGGGGGAGGCTTTTTTTTTTCCACTATTTTGTGCCTTTCTATACTGTTTACCTTTTATAATCATATGCATGTTTTTTGTTTTAAAGTTTAAAGTAACCTCTGCACCCACCGTGGGGCTTGAACTCACAACCCCCAAGATCAAGAGTCACATGCTCCTTCAACTGAGCCAGCCAGGCAGCTCTGCCTGTTATTTTTATTTTAAAAAACTCAGTGATAGTGTTATGGATGGGGAGAGAATGGTCCATTTTTTGTTTTCTTTGCACCTCTCTTACTTTAAAAACAAAAGCAAAACAGAATACTCACATGCCCAAGGATTTTTTTTAAGATTTACTTATTTATTTAGAGAGAGCGAGCTTGGGGAGGGGAGGAGCAGAGGGAGAGAGAGAATCCTGAAACAAACTCCCTGCTGAGTGGGGAGCCCAACGTGGGCCCCATCCCAGGACCCTGAGATCATGACCTGAACTGAAATCAAGAGTCAGCTGCCTCACCAACTGAGCCACCCAGATGCCCCCCAAAGTTGTTTTTTAAATCCACACTTTATTTTGGAAAAAAAAAATTAATACATACAATAAACATGTTAGGGTCTCAGAAAAGATGGAAACTACATTTCTAAGAGTTGTGGCCCTAAAAATTATATATATTTTTTTCATTTGATAACCTCTTTTGTTTATAAAAATTAGTGTTTAAGGTTTTTCATTTTGTATTTTTAATCTCAAAAGTTCTGATTGATGCTTATTAACTGCTATAAATGCTTAATAAAGCATTACTCAGTTTTCCCTAGTATTTCTTCTTTATAGAGGTTTGTTTTTTCTACAGGGAGCCGTTTTCTTTTTTTTTTTTTTAAGGTTTTATTTATTTATTTGAGCGAAGAGCAAGAGCTGAGGGGAGGAACGGGGAGAGGGAGAAGCAGACTCCCCGCTGAGCAGGGATGTGGGGCTCCATCCCAGGACCCTGGGGTCATGACCTGAGCTGAAGGCAGATGCTTAACCGACTGAACCACCCAGGTGCCCAAAGGAGCCATTAATTATTGATGATAGGTGACTGATGCAGTGACTCTGAGTAATACCTATCCAAGAGCTCATTAACTCTCTAGTTGTGTTTATAATTTTCTTTGTGACCTTTGGTAAATCACTTAAACTCTGCACAGATTTCTTAGTTTGTAGAACTAGTTTTGGGGCTTTCTTTGCATTTGAATTGCTACCCATAGGGCTCTAGACTTTAGCAAGTTGGCCAGCTTTTATCAATGTCCCTGACACTGGTCCTCAGCTAGTCTTGCTAAATGCAGAGTACCAATGCCTAGGGCCAAGGGGATCATTCCAGATTTAGACTCTGATAAGCCTTAGGGGCATACTTTGGTCTAAATATTATAGGTCTGAGTTGGGTTTGTAGCCTTTGAGGCTGCATGAGAAGACTTTTTTGGTATAAAACAGGGAGGCGATGTAGGGGTTTTGAAAGGGCTGCCTTACTGGGGTACCTGTTGCATAAGAAAGTGATTCTTTAGGTGAGTGCTACCAAAGTCTAGTGATTGCAAAATCATTTCAGAAGCTAGGTGGTGTGGTGTGAGGCAAGAGCAAGGGACTGGAGTAACATGACCTTGGTTCTAATATCTGCTCTATGTCTTAACTTTCTGAGTGACTTCAGTCTTCTTTTAAAATTTTAACAGGCTTATCTGGAAAATGGCAATAGTACTTGCTTTCCCTACCTTAAAGAGATGTTGTGAGGCTGTCATAAGATAAACATTGGTGAAAGTATCTTCAAAAAGTTAAAGTTGTTTTAGTAAGAAGGTATTTCTAGTAATACATTTGGAAAAATGTTTTTGCAAATCCTTCAGGGGATCCTAAGATGATAGTGTCCGTACAGCATATGCTCTTGTGTGTCCTTTATCGGTCTCTTGCATGCTTAAAGTGTGGAGTTCAGGTCATTTTGCTCACATTGTCCAGGCAAAAGAAGCTAAGTAACTTCCCAAGGATAGAGTGTTATGTGAATGAACACCTAGGTAGTAACTCAGCAGCCTCCGCTGTAGGCCATTCTGCAGCCATAGTCACTCTCAAGTTGTATTTTAGTGAGGGAAGAAGGTGATGCTAAGGCGTGTAATATGCACAACTTCCTCTGTGTTGGTGGTTGTGTCCTTCTACCTTTTAAATGCTCTGAGCTTTCCTTTGCACTTCAGGGGGCAGTATAGTAGGTAGGACTAAGAGCTAGGAATAGGGAAGGTAACGGTGGCTTTCTGATGTTATAGCCAGGCTGGAAATCTGTTATACTGTGTAGTGGTAAGTACTAATTTTATGCCCATTTCTGAACTTTTTCCCCCACCAGAATGTATTTGCTGCAGTTGGAAGGGGTTTATACGTGTATAACCTTCACATGAAGCGTGTGATTGCTTGCCAGAAAAGTGCCCATGACTCTAATGTCCTGCACATTGCCAAACTTCCGAACAGGTATACGGTCCCATCTGTTCTACAACAAATGAAAGAAACTCACATTTCCCAGCGCCACCAAGGTAATTTCTCAAGTGGCAAAGCTTATCTGGCTCCCTGGTTTGACCTGGTAGGTTCTTTGGGAAATGGAGAATACCCATGGCTGTCTCTAACAGAAGAGTTTATGGCAGTATGTTACAACATTTACAAGAAGCAGCATTCAAATGAATTACATTGAATTTGATGATAGGAAGAGAAAACGTTAAAATTTGGTATTTATTTAAAAAGACAAGGTCTTTTGGGCACTATGTGCTCATTTTTCTTCTTCTATTTTCCATAAACTCATATTTTCATTGTAGTTGTTGATGGCCAGCAAGAAATGGTCATCTCCTTGTTGTGTGAGGCTACTAAGCAAGGGCTTTCCTGTTGGGATAATTTTGGCTGCTGAGTTTCTAGGGATGAAATTACAGGAAGGGAATACTATTTTCTGTGCAGGATACTGTTAGTGTTAAAAGACCTGTGCAGGATACTGAGAAGAGATACTGTGAGAGGAGGGAAGGGGGGACGGGTCAGGATACTGTGAAAGTGTAATTCATACTGTTTTTGTAAATGTGTTTTACAAAATGGGATGAAGTATTTATCACATTTGAGCCAGTTTAACAGTGTAATGGGTGCCCTTCCCGAAGAGTGCTTTTACTTTGCATTGTAAAGCCATGTTAAATTACGATTTTTATCAGCTCCTGCCCAGAACCGAAGAGAAGCGGTTGAGGGCTCCACTGATTCTTTCACTGCAGATTTCGCATTGGCCCTCCGTGGCGCATTCTCTTTTTATTACTGATTTTCTGTTCTGACAGGCAGTTAATCTCATGCTCGGAAGACGGCAGTGTACGCATTTGGGAGTTAAGAGAAAAACAGCAGCTTGCAGCTGAACCTGTACCAACAGGTGTGTCTTTTCTCCTATGAAAGGCAGAAGGCGCATGTTCACATGAAGAATATGCTAGTTGGGATCTCGGATCATATCTTAATATTGCTCTAATGTAGAACTGCCTGTTTTTTTTCATCTCAAGTCAACTAGTATTTTATTGTTTTAAGGGAAACTCTAATTTCTGAACAAATGACCCATTGACGTAATTATTCATTTTATATTGTCTGTCATAATACTTGATACACAAGGAGGATTTGTACCATCAGATACCAAATTCAAGTTTTCTTTCAGCCTGGAAGCATTAATATTGAACTCAGTTTATGGAAAAAAACACTTTTGTGTTTATATCATAATCTCATGAGCTCTCGACCTGCAGGTGTTTGCTTTGAAAAACAAAATCCTGGTTCATTAGCAACCTTTGCATAAGAAATCAGATGCTGCTACCTCTGGAGTTTCTTCTGGTCATGCGACATACTAGGATACTGTTTTTGGACACACGTTGCTTTTCATCTACACTTTGTTGATAGATCTGTGTTGTGGCTTTTTTTTTGGACACTGACATTCAGGGCTTTTACTGCTCTCCTCTTTTATTCCCAGTGCCTTTTTGTCATGTTAATACACCTTTACCAGTGGGTGAGTAGGGGCAATAAAAGAGATGAGCAGCAAACCTGGTAGTTAAGATGAAATAACAGATTTACAAAAACGCTAGCTTAGTGTTTCATACCATCCCCTTAGCCCTTGACTAAAGTACAGAACATCTTTGCATTTAAATTTTCTGTTTTTCTGATCTTATATTCTAAGTAAAGAGTCCAGTAATTTTGGAAATGACCAAAATGATTTTGTTTTTCTAGGTTTTTTTAACATGTGGGGATTTGGAAGAGTGAACAAGCAAGCCAGCCAACCTGTTAAAAAGCAACAAGAAAATGCTCCTCCATGTTCATTGGAGCTCATTGGAGATTTGATTGGACACTCCTCATCTGTGGAGGTATTATTTTTAATAGGCATGTAAAGGTTTAGGGCATTCATAAAGACCTATACTTTTTTTTTTTCTGTATGTTTTTGCTGAATCTAAACATGGATAGGTGCAATTAAGATCTCCCTTTACAGAGACACAAAGTGATGAAGCAAGGAATGTGTTGCTTCTAAAAATGGGCTTAATCACCATTATTTATGAAATGGAGACAGCCAAGAATCACGATGTGAATCATGTTGCATACCTAACAGTAGTAGAGGGTGCATGGAGGGTTGGGTTATATATGTAGAATTAAAGCCTTGCAGAATGGAATTCCAGGGGCCTTTATCACATTCATGAACAGAGTACTGTTTTTACCTCCTCTTGAAGGATATTTTGTTAGCTTTCCTAAGACTTAGGGTCTTGGTTATTGTTGTGCATATATGAAAATACTAGTTGAGAATTGTAAGATGTATACAATTCTACCTTGTGGAAATCGAAGTACATTAATATTTACTATATGCACCATTGTTGATAATGAAAGGAATAAGATCATTCGAGATAAGGAGAGGATTGGAACTGGTAGTAGTATAAGCAGAGCCCTAAGTAATGAATTTCTTAAATTGTTCTTCCCTGTTTCCCAGCCAGGGAGGAACAAATTACTTTTCATTTGAATGTGCATTTATGCTTCAGGGCAGCTGCAGTGCACTTACCAATCATTGCTTCTGTTTTAGGCAGTATACTAGACACTGGAGTTTACGAAGATACAGGTCATACAATCCTTGCCCTCCTAGGTCTTCTAGAGCGGAAGGGTACAGCCCAACTAAGTTGTTAACCTAAGCTGCTCATGCAGGCTCAGATGACTGTAGACAGCTAGTGCTCAGGAATTGGAAGGTTGGGGAGGGTTAACATACATAGCCTTGTGACCCTGAGTTCCCTAATGGTGGGTGTTGGGTCCTGTTTATCTTTGCTTTCCTCTAACACGTAGCCCAGTTGTTTTCCTTTTTAAAAAAATTTTTTTTTTTTTTTAGATTTTATTTATTTATTTGAGAGAGAGAGAGAATGAGATAGAAAGCACGAGAGGGAAGAGGGTCAGAGGGAGAAGCAGACTCCCTGCTGAGCAGGGAGCCTGATGTGGGACTCGATCCTGGGACTCCAGGATCATGACCCGAGCCGAAGGCAGTCGCTTAACCACCAGTTGTTTTCCTTTTGTTGTTTTTTAATTTTGCTTTTGCTTAGGTAACTATTGTGTAGTTTTGTATTGGGGAGAGCAGAATGTGGTAGAAGTGCAAAGATTGCATCTCCGTGGTGGCATGAGCAGAGTGGCTGGGTTGGAGCAGTGGTTTTCTGTGAACAGACACTAGTAGGAGATATAAGCCTGAGAAAGTAGTTTTGCATCAGATTAATTTTGGCTTTATTTTTAAAATAGTAGGTATCCACTAAAGGTTTTTAAATGGTGGGGGTAGGGGCGCCTGGGTGGCTCAATCGGTTAAGCATCTGCCTTTGGCTCAGGTCATGATCTCAGAGTCCTGGGATCGAGTCCTGCATCAGGCTCGCTGCTCAGCAGGGAGTTTCCCTCTGTGCTTTCTTGCCCTCTCTCAAGTAAATTAATAAAATCTTTTTAAAAAAATAAATGGGGTAACCTTCAAAGTGGCATATCTGCCATAATGTCGACCTGAGGAATTTTCCTGAAAGTGTTGACATTGAAGTTTTTCTTTAAATATCTCTGGCTTCTTTGAGAAAAATCTTGGCTCCCTTTTAGGTGCTACCTCCTGAACTTCCTCATTCTTCCTCATTCCTTTTATGTTTTTACCCTTACTCCCTAGCCAACCCTGTTACTTGTAGTATTTTGCTCCGCTCCTTCCCCCTCTTCACTTACGGATCATCAGCTGAGGCCTTATCCTGCTTTGTTCAGAATTGTTATTTCAGAGAGAACTCCCATCCTGTTCTTTGATGTTGTATTTCTCTCCTTTGTTTTACTCTCGCTTCGCCAAGCTCTGCTCTCTACTGCAGAGGTAGCTCTGCTGCCTTTTCATGAACACTTTTCTTTTTTAATTCTTCTCTTCCAGCCTATTTCTTCACCAGGCATGACCTTCCCTTCATTTCAGAAGTTTTAGGTTTTTGAAGCTTTGACAGTTTCGGTGGTTACTGATCTAGATCCTCTCTCTTTATGGCAAATCCTAGTGTGAACTACATTTTTTAGTACCTGGTTACATGGTCTTTGTTTCAACTATGATGTGGTTTTCAGAACTGAACTAGAACCTTCTTCATGGTAGGGACCATGGCATATAGATGGCATTCTGTAAATGCTTCTGGATTAGAGAGCTCAAGCCAGTGTTTGTCTTGCAGAATTAGGAGTTTGGACATTTTACTGGTAGCCATTTGTCCATAAATAATAAGGGAGGTATAATTGATGAAGCAGTTCTGGCAGGACTTCTGAGATAAATTTAAAACAAATACCTGAAGAATTCGATTATAGTAAAATTGAAGAAGATGCTGTGGGAATTCACAAAGATAGGTAGTGTAGTTCTGATTATTAAAATACAAGATAATGCTAGACCATTACACAACTTCTCCTGAAAAATGAGTTTTATATTCAGATTCAAATAACTCTGCAAGTTACCTATCTTACAAGCACATGTTAGTCTCACCTTTTCTCTCTGAAGTTCCTATAATCAGTGGCTTTAAATTTCTTTACAGATGTTTCTGTACTTTGAAGATCATGGACTAGTGACATGCTCTGCTGACCATCTCATTATTTTGTGGAAAAACGGAGAAAGAGAATCTGGATTGCGCAGTTTAAAATTATTTCAAAAGTTAGAGGAGAATGGTGACTTATATCTTGCGGTCTAGTTGAAGGAATTTGGAGCACATGTGCATGAACCTTGAACATCAAATACAGGGTAATACTCAAATTTGTAATGTATTGTTTTTTTAAAGAGTTTAAGTAATCTCCACCCCCAGTGAGGGACTTAAACTCACAACCCCCAGATCAAGAGTTGCAAGTTGTTTCTCAGGTATTAACATTCACCAAAGAATACCACTGCAAGTTTTTTGTTTGACTTTTCACAGAGCAGTAACCTGAAACCACTGAGGAAATGGGTTTAATTTCAGCAGTGAATTTTCAGAAAGTATTCAGATCAGAGCACAAATATTGGTTGATAAAGAATTTTAGCCTAGTGTCCGTATAGAAAATTTTTTTAAAATAACACTTAAAAAAAATTCTATACCAGAAATTGTATGAGCTTACGTTTAATGAGAAAAGTGCTCAGAACCTCTCACTCACTTGATTTAGTATAATTTCGTTGCCTCTAATTACATTCTTATTCATCACGAAAATTTTTTAAAAAGTTACATGTACTTTCATTTAGGCCTTTCTGAATTTTGAAGTACCTGCCTTTATTCTCAAAATGAGTATTTTAACTATACCTGTTTTAAAAAATTTATGAGCCTACTTTTAAGAAAATATATATAATTATAGAAGATATTTTGGGGTAAAAATGAAAAATCCACTGAATAACAGGTAGGACATGTAGCACATCTTGAATTTACACCTTGAGACCTCCAAGAGATTGTGCTTTGTGTTGCTGCTCAAGGGGTGAGTGCTGGGTTTGAGCCGCTTCATTTGAACCTAGACCCTGTGAAGAGGTGGAAATAGAACAGCATAACTGTGGCATTCTTTAGAAGTTTTTTTTTTTGTTCTTTGGTTTTCTTTAGAACCTGTTGGATTAAGAATCTGTGTGATAAATATATCCTACCTCCTACAGATTCCCTGGTCTTTGGTAACTAATTAAGAATGTTCTTTGAGCAAACTTGAGTCTCTTACTGTTTAACTCCAACTTTTTTTGTTGCTGGTGCCAAGTAATTTGTTTAAATGCTTTTGTTGTGTTTTAGTTTAGCTACTACAATTCCTATAAACTCAGATCAATAGGAATCTTACCAGGGTGTATTTTTCCCCCATGTGAATTGGCCAAATAGTGATTAGCTAGATTGGGACCAGACCAGCACCTGGCCCTCAGATATGCCGGGGATGAGAGCTAGATCAGTAAAGAGGTACAGCGTTTCCCAAGTCAGAGACTGGAGCCGCAAGTACCTGATTGATCTTACCGTTCCTCCAATATGAAATACTTGAGAAAGGCTTCATTTGTGTAGTTACTTGCTGTGACCACTCAGATTTAATCCTCTTTATCACCCTACCAGCCTTAGAACAGAATATTCTTTCTCCCCTTTGATACTAAAGAATAAAAATTAAAAAAGAAAGTGGAGTTATTCTTAAAGTGCTGATCAAAGAATCCTATTACAATGTTGGAAGACTGATCCTTCTCCTTTGCTCTCTGCCTAGTCACCTGTTCATCCCACTCATCTCTAATGGAATTTTTATAAAGTGTTTTTACTAGTTTTATCTTTGACCATTGCTTCCACAACTACCTCCAGACTGGAAGAGCTAAGGTCATCTATGCCAGACTGATGCCCTAATGTTAGGAATGAGGAAACTGAGGCCCACGCAGGTAAGGCCTTGCAGTTAGCCCTATTCCATGAGATTGTTGACCACTTTAGTTAGGTATCTCTGAGTCATTTTCAGGCTTTAAAATTTTCCTCAATAGCTGGACTTTCTTCTGTTACTAGCTAGCTTTTTCTTTGGACATTTTACACGAGGTCTTTTTCACGTTGTTTGCTTGAGTTGTATAAGACCTCTTCCATGAATTATACAAGGAATTCATAGATTTTTAACTGCTTTATTTCCTAATAGGTTTTGGGTTAGTAATCTATTCCCATGGAGTGACAGAAACTATAGGTGAGTTTTGGGAGCAACCAGTACTGTAAGTAGCACCATTAATCCTCTTATCTGTCTGGAGGGAAGCCCCCCCCACTAAGGAAGATGGGAGCTTCTAATAGGGCTCAGACTTGATGGCTGCTTAGTAGTTGTATGTAGACTGCTGCTAGAAGTTGACCTTGAAGCACCCAAAGTAACACTATGTAGTGGGCCTTGTCATTTTTATTTAAAAATCCCCTATTACCTCCCTCTCTGGCTGTCTTCACATAATACAAGCAAGAGCCTAAATTTCAGGGGCACTGTATCTTTCCTTTCTCAGCTGGAGGCTTGTCCTTTGCCCCCAAGACTAACCAGTCCTGACTTAGACAGGAAGCAAATTTTAAAATCTAAAATTGGAAGTAAATAATGACTTAGAATTATAAAACATTGTTACCTCCACAAGAATGACCTTATAACTAACTTCTAGTGAAGTAGTAGTCCTAATGTGACTTCTACCTATATTAGATTGCATTCTTCTCAATCAATAGGGGTCCCTTCAACACAGAATGTTTTAGTAAACAACTAAGTATAAAGAGGCATTTATAATAGTTTATACCTGCTGAAAGACTATATGGAAGAATATAATATTTAGTTAGCAATTCAGAGGATTACACACTGATTAAGATCATAGCTGTGCTAAAGCTTTGGTACCTGGCAGTCTTAAAGCCTTTAAGTTCTTATGAAATTAATCTGACATTACAGGGAGTAAGCTGTAACATTCATACAGAAAATGTCAGACATCTTGATAAATGTTACTTACCGAATGGAACTGAAAATGACATGGCAAGGTAAAGACTGTCCTTGTCTGGAGCCAGCTTCTGAAGCCTAGGCAAGTTTTTTTAGTTCTTTAAAATGGGATTTTGACATTCTGACTTTAATGTGTCTGAAAGTAAAGTGTGTGACTCATGAAATAAAGGACACTAAAGCGAAATTTTGAAATAATGAAAAGTTTAGGCCAAAGAGATAAAATAAAAAACAGCTGTTGGGAATGAAAAATGGCTGTAGGAATTTAGTTACAAGTACATCACAAAAACATTTTCATCACATTTACATAGTGCAGCATTACAACGCAAAGCTAGCTGCTGTCCTGACCAAGCACATTCGCTTTTCTAACAAAAATAATTTAGATACATTTCTTTGCGTGGAATTGTCATATATGATTTCATTTTTTGGTACAAAACATAGAAAAAAAACATTGGCACATTATGTAGTGATAAGTCATTTTTTTCTTCCCATGTACTGGTTTCAAGTGTTCTGCATTCCAATTTTCATTTGAAAAAAGTAACTACTATTCAACTAATTCAGCCTCTGTTTATACCTCTTAAAAATGCAGCAGGGAGTACAGAGGATTTGAAGAGGAAAAGGAAGATATTTTGTTTACTGAGTTTGATATTTACAATACATAGAGAAGGGTTGTTTGGTAAAAGAGAAAGGAAAATCTCAAGTCTGACTTCATGTAGATCACAGAAAGTTTTCAAAAGAGCTGTATAAAAATATGCACTTGTGCTTTAGAAGCTTTTAGCATACAACTAAGAGCATAAAATAGTATTTACTGCTTCCCCTTATGCCTATTTTCTGATCTATTTACACATCTTGCAGTCTTGTCTTTTTTACATTAAAGCAAAATGGCAAGGTCTCAAATATAGATAGGTTAAAAACATCTGAACCTTGAAACTGCCCAGTCCCTCCCCTAAATATATATGTATAGATGGTACACGGCACAACCTACTCCATGGACTTATACCCAGTAAATTTAGAGTGCTTTAATAAAAATTTTAAACAGCAAATGTATATAAATTTAAAAAAAAAAAAACTTATCCAAGGGCAAATTTAATGGCTTTTATATACTCACCATAGTGCCTTGTGACTGCCTCTGTAAACTAGCAGTAAGGGAAGCTCTTGGATTCCACCCCCCCCAAACAAGGTGTCAGTCCCTTCCCCATCATGAAGGGCTTTGTGTTAGAATGAATTTCTTTTCTAGGAAGGAGGGCTACACGGGCTGCTGCTACCAGTCTACAGAAGGCACTCACCAGGCCGAGGCTGTGGTCTGCCTTGGCTGTCACACCACTGAGCAAAGGAACTGCTTAGCCATAAGGCGGTGAAACTAACTAGTTTATCAGTTATTTGGTCCTAGTTGTTTTGCTCATTTTTTATATAGTTTCTTGTTCTTAAGTATTATGAATCCTTCAGACTGAGACTCTTGAGGAAGATAGTCAAGCTAACAGTGACTTTTATGGTAAGAGACGAGCTGAACACTAAGCTACTTTGTCATCCAGCAAGATGGGCTCACAGGCACCAAGTCTTTGCTGCATGTGTCCTGCTAGTAAATGAGCTCCATGGTTTGATGAGGACAGACAGGGTGACAACAGGACAAAGGATTTTGCCCTGTGTTTATTCTGTCTCTTCAGTGTTCAAAAGAACATGTATTTTTCTTCATGGAATGTAACTTTCTAAAAATGCAGTTTGGGGACTTGGATGATTCAGAGTCCAATATTAAACACCATCTCTTTAACCTCCTCACTAGAAAGGAACACCTCTTATTTACATGACTGTGATTCACAGTGCCCTTTGCAGATCATGAGGTCCCCTTCGGTCTTGGCTCTAGCTGTCAGATGGAAGCCTCAGACTTTTGCACTTGAGGTCATCTAATGTCTTCCAGTGTTTGTAGTTATCAGCCAGATGTTGCATCAGGGCTGGCAGATGGGCAAAGGCTGCAAGGACATCAAAGGATCACAAGTTAGGTGGCTGGAACATGTGTAAGACTGGGGTTCTGTGGGACAGATTGGGGCTCAGAAGTGGAAGAGAGGCACTGTAGTGCACAAACGAGTATGAGAAGGTAAGTTGTTAACACTAGCTTCTGAAATACAAACAGGCCCTTTGCAGTTAAAAATTGAAAAGCCACTTATCAGCAACATTACAAAATGTATTCAGTCTACTCTAAGTCACAGATTCTGTTGGCATTCTTTCTAGAGGTTCTCCAAGGACAGGCTAAAACTGTTGAAAGCTTTGGAAACCTATGCTTCCCAGAGGTTAGGACTTGTTGCTGCAGTTATCAAACATCCATTGAGTTTTCAAAGTGCTGGGGATGCAGAGTGCACATGCGCCCCACCCCATTTGGCTCCAAACAGCCAACAGCTAACTTTTCACACACACGCAAACAAAATTAACATTTCACTTACACCTTTAGGCCCAACTTGTGTCATTAACAAAATATTCTGGGGGGGGCGGTGACAGATAACTTACCATCCCAAGCATCAAACATGTCTGTTATGAAGTAGTCAATGAAGGAGATTTGGGATTTGGGGATGCTGCAGGTGTTCCGGTCAAACACTGGCATCACCACAGGGAGCCCCTGTCTCTTCTCCTCATCAGTCTACAAGAAATGAGAACACACACAGGGCTGGGGCACCTGAGGAGCTGTCCCAGTAGCATCTCATTTCTCAGAACAACTCTGAACATGGGTCCTCACCCAACTGTAGGTATGAAGACATCGGTTCAGGAAGCTTCCGAGGCTTATGTAAGTCAACCACCTGATGAGCGGGGGTGATTAAAGGCAGGTCTTCTGACTCTGAAGTCTCTTGTATGATACCAGAACCCCTCCTGAAGCACCGATCTCAGGATTCTTAACCCGTTTCTGGAGATGTTTCCAAAGTCCTACTACTACCACCAAATGCTAACACAAATGGAATACTGCTCTTTATAGTAAGGGTGCAGAAGTGTTCGGGAGGGGGTGGTGAAAGGGCTTAGGCCTTAGCGTGAATCAAGGCACTGCCACCAAACTGTACCAGGAGTCACTGTATTCTTTACTATCACGTGCCTGAAGTTTAAAAAGCCAGTTCTACTTACCAATACCCTCACTGAAGCAGGAGGAATTATTAATAAATTTTGACCTCTGAGTATATGTCCTTTTAAAATTCTCTGTTGTGACAGAATGGGAAGTACACTGAAGCCCTTACACTGCATACCACAGTATAATGAGGTTGTCTGGAGGAAAAACATTTATGCAGTTGAGCTGAAGCAGCCTCCTTGTTCTATTTTTACTTGAAAGAAGGGCAAACTGATTGTTCAGGTTTGGGTACTGGTCATGTGGCTCTCTCAAGGAGTGTGTCAGTCTGAGAATTTTGCACAGTAGAGTGTGTGTTTATTTGTGTAAGGCCAGCCTGTACTGAGCTGAATATTAAGATCCCCATTTTCTTGATGGTGTGCTGAACCAGAGGCCAGCTGATCAGAAGCCTCATTTCTGACTTTTGACTTTTAGGCCACAGTGCTTGCGAACATTAGTACATTCCTTTTTGGGAGAAGGACACCTGAACAAGGAATTTACTTTCCCATTCTCCATTCCTGTACTTAGAGAGTAATTATGAGTAGGATTTTAAGCCCTTTCTATGGGTCCTGGGAGGCCCATTAATGGCCTCCTACCAGCTTTTGGCTCAGCTTGCTCATTTCAGGTTAATCGATAAGGCATCTTTAAAATCTCCACTATTGTTCAAGGAGTAGTTTGGATTTTTTACTCTTACCCCTTCTCTCTGGCAAGCTCAGAACTGCCTGTCCTACTTTCCTTCACTTCAGGAGCTCGTCTTTCCAGCCTTGAAAGCTGCAGTTAACTAACTGAGTACTTGGCTGGTCATGCCCCTGCCAGCCCTTCTGGACACGATGAGCCATTCTTTATCCTGCCTTCGTGGTACACTCAGCCATACTGGCCCTCCCACAGTGCAGGACTTGTAACTGTGTGTGTTTCTGTTTCTGTCACACACATGCACCTCAGCCCTCAGAGCCTCTTCCCTGGAAGTAGGCCTGTATTTCAGACTAATTTCTGGATTTTTTTCCTTCAACTCCACACTGGCAAAGTGAACTACATATTGCTACTACATATTGCTACTCTCCTTATATAAAAATTCTATTTTTCTTCCTTACTAATTTTACACATGATACTTTCTCCCCCAGAAAGTCCTTTCCTATTTCCATATATCTAAATCTTTTCAAAAAACCAAAACACAACTTTAATGCCATTTCCCCCAAAAGGTTTTTTTTAAATCATCTAGGAAACATATCTGAACTCAGATAGCACTTAGCATACCTCCTTTAGAGATACTTCATATTTTTAGCCATGTGTGGACCTATCCTATGTCTACACCTCTCCCCTACGGTTTATGAGCTGCCAATGAGTGGGAGTGTGTCTTGCTCCTATCTGTGTCCCCACAGGGCTCAGTGGAGAGAAGAATAACCTGGTAAGTGAATGGACGGTAGCCTAGTTTTTGTGGAAGTTCAGGATCTAACATTTTGATGATGAAACGATACTTCCAAAGGCTCAGTTTATCCCCTTTCTCCTAGAATGACTTTGGTCAGTGACCAGCCACATCAGTCACTCTTGAAAGGAACCAGAAGTATACTCTGGGCCCGGGGTGAGCCATTTCTTTCCAGGGAGGATTCATTTATTAATTGATGGCTGCTCGACTGGAAAATCTCCAGAGTTCCATGACCTGGAACCATTTCCAGAAGAGAAGTGGAGCTTCCCTAGAGAGGCAGTGTACCTGTGCAAAATACTCCTCAGAGATCCTCCCAGCCCATTCGATGCACAGGTCCAGGGGGCGACAAGGGTTGGCTACATCAGCACACTTGATCATCATACGCTTGATCAGGATTTGGTTTTCAGGAAAGTTCTTCCCAGTAGGGTTGCATTCACAGTCGCTGCTTTCAATCTGGAAAACAGATGGTCACATTAGGGTTAAAATGATGTTATGACCACAGGGACCAGACATTAGATGGTCAGCACCCAGGCCCATTTAGACCTGACTGGGACTCAAGTTTTCCCATCCTTAATTCCATATATAATACACTGACCTATCCTTGTACAAAAATAACCTCAGTCAAGACAAAAACAGTTTAAAACCTCAAACTCCCTATCACCACTCATCCAGTCCCTCGCTGCCATGCTCTTCCCTAGAGGTAACTATTACAAGCAGGGTTTGGATTTGTTTTTAGGAGTTTGGTATGTCGTTTTAAAGGAGAGTTTTTCTCCTGATTTTATCAGGATGTGTAAAAACAACTTCCAGGTTTAAAAAAAATCTATTAAAGAAAGATAGGAAAGAACACATACATATGACCCTTCAGTCATTTCTTCACTTATTTCTACTACTTATGCCTGCTCTCTCCCTCTCTCTCCTATTACTTCTGTCCCGTCCTTTCCTGCTTTCTTTCTCTTAAGGCATCCGTCCACTCAGGCTTTCCTGGCTGCCGCTCTGACTGAGTGGTGGCAAGTCACAAGCCATGTACATTCTGGGTGGGGGTTGGGGGGCAAAGAGCAGAAAGTGGCCTGGGACTGGAATGGGTGTATTCAGTCCTGTTTAGAAAGACCAGTTATGCAGGAGTACAGACCTAGTGACCGATGTCAGGGGTCCTGAGCAAAGTGGCCAGCTCTGTGACTAAGGCTTACATAAATGCAACAGTAAGCCAATTACACAAAACCTGGAAGATTGCTATTTTCTGCTTGCAAAGACATCAGATTGTGTGAAAACACTTACTTAGATTTCCAGAGCTCTGCCAAGCTGAAAAACTGCATGACATTTTAAGGGTTTTTGTTTTATTTTGAGACTAGACCTATCTATTAAACCATCAGTGGACAGAATTATGTTCTGAAGGTTGATTACTTACCACTGGTAAAATACTGCTTACAGTAGACACTGTGGTAAATGATAAATCTCAACACAGAGCGCTGGGAGCTTATTTTAATAGGTGACTTTCCTCAACTCTAAATTCTGTATAATTTTTCTCTGCTGAATCCCCAGATCCTTACCCCCATAAGTCAGTCTCCTAAAAAGAGAGGGCCCTGGCATTATGCTGTGGGACCCCTGGGGGATGAAGTAGAACAGGTGAGGTGGAACTGTCCATCTACACTGGTCATGTGATGGGTCGTACACAAACAGTTTCCTTACTGATCATCAAGTTACTTTTAAGACAACAGTTCATCATCCATCCACATACTCAATCTCTTCTCAGTGGAAATGAGCATAAAGCTTTCCTGATTTTACAGGGCTATGAACAGCTTCATGGTTTCGGAGGTCAGTTGAACTCATTTTAAAACAACAGAGGTGTGAACCTTCTGTGCATGTTTCTGAAACCCAAGTTTGGAAGGGCTTTAAGGCAGGACTAGGGTATAGCAGTAAATTAAAAAAAAAAAAAAAAAAGACATAAATGCTTTTGTTTTCAACTAGCACTCACAGTTTGACTCTATGGAGTCTTTAGGTACTGATGTTTTTAATGCAAGTCAGCAGAAATAACAGTTCTTTAAAATATCCACTTTTTTTCCTAATACTAAATTTCAGCTATTTTTTTATTTTATTGAATTATTTTAATTCCAGTATAATATACAGTGTTGAATCACTATATTGTACACCTGGAACATGTATAACAGTTGTATACATCGCTCAAGGGTCCATCAGGGCGAGTGTGCTCTTTTATCCCCATCACCTATTTCCCCCTTCCCTCCATCCACGTCCCCTCTGGTAACCACCAAGTTTGTTACCTGTAGTTAAGAGTGTTTCCGGGTTTGTCTCTCTCTTTTAAAATAGCCACTTTTGAGGTCTCAAATGACAGAAAATTAGGGCTTTGGATCCTCTAAAATACCCCCATTTAGGCTAGCCTCCACTGTCTGCAGGCCTCTCTGTCTCATTCTTTGGGCCCACCTCCTCCTGTCACCATGGGCCTTATCTCAGGACCTTTCTTTCAAGGAGCTCAGGGTTACTGCGGCCAGCACTTCCAGCCCTTCTTCACCAACTCCAAGCAGATAACCACCTTGTATGCAGGATGAAGAGAAAGTGTGTTGAGGCCAGAGTAGCCTCTAATGGAAATAATACTCTCATGTATCTTATTACAGGGGAAATGCTTACCTCAGCTGCCATTGGCTTATTGATGCTGTTCACAAATTTGTTCACATGTTCAAAGTGTTTGGTCATCTCTGTTGCTAAAACCATGTCAATAATAGCCTGGCGCAGTGTTCGGTAATGGGTCCTAAAATAACCAGAAGACAAAGAGCTTTGTTCATATCATGGCCAAAATGAGAACTGTTCTACCATTTCACCACACTTCCACAGTGTGGGAGGAAGCTGGGGGCATGGAGTTGAGAACTGAGTGCAGATCATCAAGTTTACCTGCTCCTCTTCCCGGTAAGCCAGGACCTGTTGATGCCATTCCATGGGCCCCAGTACAGCTGACCCTTGTAGGACGTGTGTGTGTGTGTGTGTGTGTGTGTGTGTGTGTGTGTGTGTGTGAGTGAGAGAGAGAGAGAGAGAGAGAGAGAGAGAGAGATGTCACGTAGCAGGCACTTACTTTACAAAGTGATTTCCTTCTACCTTCCCTTGGCAACACAGAAACAGCCAGGTGGAAGGAAATGAATGACAAGTTCCTGCCCGGCAAGACTGGCGGCTCAGACATGGGGATTTCTACTACAGAGACTTGTCAGTACTCCTTTAGATGGTGGCATTGGAATAATGTTTTCCCATGAATAAGTGGTTCTCTAAGATAGAAGGGGTAATGCATGGAGCAACATACCTGCCCAAAATTACTCTCCAGTTCCTATCTTTTTCTAACCTCCAGGAGCCAGAACGGAGAGCTGAGTAAAATTGGCTCTTGGAGAAAATTCTTTCAGTGAAAGTTCTAAAAACAGTCCTTGACACTGATGAAACTTTCTGCAGGTGGAATAACTGGTCTCCATGTCTTCTCAGATTTCTGGAAACCAAAGAGTTAGGTTCCTGTTGATGCATGGTCCCTGAGGCCAGAGTGAGCTCTGTGCTCTGTGTATGCTTGGTCCTCTAGAAGTCTGCTGCTCTGCGGAAACTAGCTGTAGCCTGACCGCAGGGTTAGGGCAGCCGACAGGAATTGCTCCTGTTCCCAGCTGGCCCATGCTGCCCAAATGGGAGTACAACGGCCAGGAAGGGGGAAGCCTGTCCAACCCTTTGGGCTCTAACAACTCTGCTGGGACCTGTCGAACAACACTATCTCTTCATGTGTTAGGTTTTTAAGGGGCAAACATTGACCTGGGGAAAGATGAGGAAGGATGCATTTTCCTTGAGTTAACAAAAGGTGGGAGGTCCTCCTGGGAGGGTAAAAATATTTGCTGTACTTACTAGTAAGACAATATTTTAAGTATTTTGTGGTATGTAAAATGTGTCCATGAACCCACTGAAAACCAAACAAAATTCAGAAAGATGAAAGCAGTCTGAAAAGTACAGGTAAGCTTATAAGGGCAAGATTACTATTTTGTTGTCTGATAACAGTGGTCCAACTATTGTTACTTCTCCTTGTCCTTACCCTACGAAGCAGCTAAGTACTTGGGGAAGTTAGGGAAAACGGAATTTCCCACTTATACTTCACAAACCTGAGCACAGGACCCAAGCACAACAAACCTGTCAATGTTCTTGAAAATGTTGCACTTGCTGTCCTTGGCTGTGAGCTGGAAAGCCAGCGCGGTGTGGTGGCTCTCCAGGACAGCAGTGTCGTTATAGAGCACGGCGAGTTCACTGCCTGCATTGCACAGGAAGGAGTTGGTCCTTCCCGGGTGATCCACGTCATGCACTGTGGCGGCGATCAGTGCTGCCACCTCATCCAGCTGATCAAGGCTTCCCTGGGGCCACAGGGAGGCAAGGTTGAACGTTATCCACTGGATGTCAGAGACCTACACTCCTGTCTGACCCGCAGGAGGGATAGGATTATCAGAATGTTTTCTTAGCCTGATGAGCCTTCTCTGACTTCCTAGGAGTTGAGAGGCTACCTAGGATATGCAGCATAGCAGAGTATCTGGAGGAAAACCGAAATCTGAGCTGTGCCATATGACAGATATATTACAATGGATGCCTAAATTCTTTTCCCGGCACCCATTCACTCCAGTTTTTCCAGGAAGAAGCCAAACAGGCCTTTTCAAATGCTGGTCCAGTGGTATTGCTATGACACTTTCCCGTGGGTGGAGAGAACAGAGTGGCCTATGGTCACAAGTATTACTTATTTTATTTGCTTACTTATGCAAAGAATGAGAGAATGGCAGTAAATGGCACACATACATCAGAACTCTTCACACAAAGGTAAAAGGATTCGAGCCAAGCAGTACAAGAGAATCGACAAGAAAAAGAATTTTCCCAGGACAACTAAGGTTAAGGCAGCTCTTGCAGTTAAAAACAAAATTCAGCTCTAAGCTAGCAGATGGCAAAGGCAAAAAGGGAGACCCTCTTTCTTAAACTCTTGTTATGTAATCTGAGAACACAAACCAGAGCATAAGGGCATACAAATGTTTTCTCAGATTACAGCTTTAGGAGGAGGTTATTAAATGGGCTACTATCATGTACGAGATCCTATACCTTAGGACTTCATTCAGTAATCTATTATAGGCTTACTGGATTCTAGTTAGAGTGCTGGCACTACAATGATGAACTACACGGGCATGCTTTCTGCACTAATGGAGTTGACAGGTTAGTGGGAAAGGCACAGATAACACACACACACACACACACACACACACACACACACACACACACACA